TGGTATATTATATCCTAAAACATTGTATGAGGACATGACCCTCTTTACAGCCTCTGCAGTCAAAAAGTCTAGCAGGTGCTCAGATTTGAGGAGTGAATCTAAGGAAATCTCTTGTGATGGATCACAAAGTTGGAGGAAAGGAGTAATACTTTCAAACTTATCCTGCAGGTCTGTTATGGATTTCTGAAGGATCTTTAGATCACTAGTATTACTCGCTACGTTATCAATTAGTTCTCCCGTTAAGTTTGGTACTAAAACTCTCGGTGTATCCATTGATCTTAGTGCAAATCCATCGTCAGGATTGATGTTTTTAGTGTCCTGCTGACTATTTGATGCTAGTCTCTTAACAGTACTAACTCGTTTAATAACTTTGACCATTATGCAGGTAAAGATTATAAAATTTTCTCAAAAATTGACAAAAGTGTGTGAAATACTGTTATATTATCAAAATAGATAAAAACAACAATAAACAGGTATGAAGTACAAACAAAAATAGACCACTATCAAACGAGTTAACTCTGATAATTATAAACCACAAAACTGAGGACTTCTCTATGGTTCTTTTGTGACAGATTGCTCTTTATTAACACGAATCTCACTGGATCCAAACAGTATTCTGGAGGTGATAAATTTGGATATTTAGCTACCGGAGGGGCAAGCAATATCAGCTATAATTATGTAGTAGTCAAATATAGACCACGATATTCCAGAATGCGAAAAATTATTTCCACGTTATATGGTGAGATTGTAACGTCCTACACGAAGCGCGCGGGTAGGATAGTGAGTGGTGCTTGAAGTGGGTGACGTTGTTGAACCCCATTAACGCTCGAATGGGAATTCCCAATTTGCTTTTTTTCCCTAACAGAATGGGTCCATATATCGGTCTTTCAACTGTAACTAAGATCGAAAATGTTGTCTGTAGTTCAATATACGATATCCTGATTACGAGCTAGTATAAACCAGTGATTTCTTTGAGCTCGCTTCTTGATTGTAAGGTAGAGGTTCCAGATCTTCGGTGAACTTATGCGTAGTAAATCCCGCCACTCGACTGCTTTAGCTCTGGTAGACTCCAAGAGGAGTGGTGCGAGGATTGGTCAAGATTGTGGTTTGTAGTGTGCAGTATGTTAGGACTCAGCTGCTGCCGTGAATGGAGTTTGACCTAACACCCGTTGGTCATTCGGTGTAGTCATAAAAGTAGAATAGTAATAATAATAAATAATAATAATAGGTTGTAGTGTAGATAATATAGGTTGAGATAAGTGAAATAATAAAGGTGAAATAATAAAGAAAGAAAGAAAAGATAGAGTAGTCGGTACAGTGGGAGAAGACAGGACGGGTCGTGGGGATTTAGCTTGTATGCTTATCCATTGACAATGTGGTTTCAAATTTTAAGAGGGTAAGCCATTGAGACACAAACCATGCATTTCTGCATGATTGTCCAGCTTCCGCTTAAAAGTCTCCACAGATGGAGCTGTAGTTACGGCCGCCGGTAAAGCGTTCCAGAGACGGCAAACTCGAAGCGAGAAGAAATGTGAACGCACTCGAGTCTTTGGTCTCTGGTGTGCTATCCTTAGCGGGTTACCTCGTGGAAGCCTATAATCACTTAATGGCAGGATGCTCTTATTAGGGTGGGCCTGGTCATTTAAGATCTTATAGACGGTGATGAGGTCTCCCCTGTGACTACGGTAACTAAGTGTGAAAAGACTTAATTTCTTCAGTCTTTCCTCATATGATTTGTTGCGGAGGCCGATCACCCATTTTGTCGCTCGTCTCTGGACACTTTCTAGAATGTTAGCATCCCTTTTGAGTAGCGGAGGAGCAATGATATTATGCACCTCAAGGAGTGGCCTCACGTATGTCGTATACAACGTTAAGAATAGTTCAGGAGTAAGAGCTCCCAGCTGCCTATGCATAAAGTGTAAAGTAGCGTAAGCTTTGGCGACGTCCCTCGTGTAATTTACACTGGTGTCTAGCTTTTCTGTTAAAATAAGGCCTAGGTCGCGTTCTGATGGCACACAACTCAAGTTCTGGCCACCAAGGGTGTAATTTGCACTCTGTGACCTGCCGGAATGAAGTTGCACTACTTTGCACTTCTTTAAGTTGAAAGGCATTCCGTTAGCCAGAGCCCAGTCTCCCAGAGTTTGCAGGTCAGCCTGCAATCTGTCGGAGTCTTCCGATGAGTTTATTGCTCTCCAAATCTTTACGTCGTCAGCGTAAAGAAGCGCAGAGCAATTCAGTTGACAGGGCAGGTCGTTGATAAAAATCAAAAACATCAACGGCCCTAAGATAGAACCCTGAGGAACCCCTGATGCCGAGGTGTGCCAGGATGATCGGATGCGGTTGACTTTGGTGCAGAATTCTCTCTCGCCTAAATAATCTTCCAGCCATGCGAGAAGTGCTCCAGAAACACCCGCTTTGCTTATTTTGTGAAGGAGCAGACCATGGTGAACTGTGTCGAATGCTTTCGCAAAGTCGAGAAAGATCACATGGACTGGTACCTTTACATCCCAGGATAGTGTCCAATCGTTCCAAGCTAGTAGAAGATTCGTCACACAGGATCTTCCCCTCCTGAAACCGTGCTGTGCTTCATGGAGTAGGTTAGTCCCGTCGAAGTATTTTCTCATGTGGTCGTCAATGAGACTTTCCAATATCTTCGATATCACTGGGAGTAGCGCAACTGGTCTGTAACTGGTCGCGTTCTGCCGGTCACCACCCTTGAAGATAGGGGATAGGATGGCTCGTTTCCATTCACATGGAAGTTTCCCTACATCAAAGGAGTGTTGAAACAGATCACTTAGGGGTTGGCAGAGACTTTCTGAACACTGCTTCAGGACGGATGGTCTTATGTCATCGCAACCTGCAGACTTTCCCGAAGCCAACTTTCCCAATTTTACGAGTACCATAGCCGGGGTAATTTGAAATGTACCCAGCAGGTTTTCGCACGTTGGTCTTGCATTGTAATCTTGATGTTTTGTGGGGGTAAAATCCTCGTTACTGTTCAGTTGCCTGTGAAAGGCTAGACTGAATGTCTCTGCCATTTCAAGACTAGTAAGAGATTTCCCATCAGAACCCACTAGATTGCAAGCTCCCTGGTTGGTCGGTTTTCTTTCAGACATAAACCTGTATAGGCTTTTGGGGTTCACGAGAAGCTTATTGGCGAGGTTTCTCTGAAATGTCCTTCTATCACTCCGGACTCGTATGTTACATCGATTCCTGAGTTCGAGGTACACTTCATGTTCGGGTTGACTCTTCGATACTCGCCACGCAAACCAGGCTTTTCGCTTCGCCTGTAGAAGGCGTTGTGTCCCCCTTTTTAGCCATGAACGTTGCTTTCTAGCTTTTGGTGTGACTAAAGGAACAGTGTCTGAGACCGCCTGGTGAATGATCTCCTTTACCACTCCCCAGTGTTCTTCTACTGTAAGCTCTGTCCAATTTTTTGGCCAATTTGCTTCAGACAAAAGTCTTCGCATTTCGGTGTAATTGGCTTTGTTATAACACAGATAGGGCTGTGTATTGTCCCACTGTAAACGCTCGCGGAGGACTATGTCGAATGTTATGACCGCGTGGTCACTACTACCTATGGGAGTCGTGATCTGAACGTTTTCCACTAGTAGCTGGTCACTAGTGAGCACGTAATCCAGTCTAGAAGACTTCCCATCTGGGCCCCATCTAGTATCCATTCTGACATTTTCGGTGAATCCGGCCTCCCTGATGGTATGCAGCAGATTTCGATCAAATCTGTCCTGGGCACATCCCGTCATCAAGTTAAGAGATGGGGCATTGAAGTCTCCAGCTATGACAATTTGATCATAACCCATGTCTTGTGTCGCTGAAATTGCATTCAGCAGTACCTGGTTGTGGTCTGCTCCACATGAAGGTGATCTGTAAATGCTGCCCACTAGATACTTACAGTACCCAACGGTGAAATGGCACCATATGGAGTCAGGGAGCTCAATGAGGGGAGGGTCGATTGCATGGACACATCTGAGCTGTTTGTCGACGTATATGGCGACTCCACCTCCTTCTTTCAGATCCCTATCTCGCCTGACTAGGACCATATCATTTATACTGACTTCGCTGTCTGCCACCGTAGGGGTTAGCCAGGTTTCCGTCAGTATTATGATTTTGGAGTTCAGCTGTGATTGTAGGTATCTAAGTTCAGCTATTTTGCCTCTTAGACCTCTCACATTACTGTACAGGCAACTGGTAGTCAGTCTCACCACGTCCCCGTATTGGGGGGTGGTTGACGTGATGTGGGCTGTCGGTTGAGGAGTTATCCTACGAACTAGTTGGCCGATTCCCCGGGAACCGGCCTGTTGGCGTTTTTTTCTTCTGATTCAATCGGAGCACTTGGATGACACTGGCTATCATCGTCCGTGCTGCACCGCTGTATTGTGACTAGGGGTTGGGGATGTTCTATGACAACGTTTTGTTCTCTCCTTTGGGTACGAGGCCGGCTCTCGCAGCAGCGAATGTGTCTGCTGACCTTGTCCTTGGTCTCGTACCATCTCTGGAGAGCAGTAGTCAAGTGGTCTCGGGAGCTGAACTTAACAGCTAACAGACGTGGAGTGTTAATTGACATTAGGTGAGTGGGTCGAGGCAGTCTAAAAATAGAGACAGCCCCTGAACTTCCCAGACCCATCTGGGATGCCAACCATCTCCATTGCTGTACATCGTGACAGTGCTTCTCACAAGCGTTCCCAGTTCCCAGTTCGGGAATGCCGTGAACAACCATGGAGGCAGAAGGAATAAGCTCTGGCGACTCCCTCGCCATCTGTCTTTCCTTCCATGGCCTATCTGGCCTAACACGTATATTGCAGGTCCTCCCTATAGAAAGGACTTGGGAAGTCAATAAAACTTTTTCGGCATCTTCGGCAGAGCCTAGTGTTACCCTCAGTGGGGATGGTTTGCCTTGAGGAGCAGCAGTGCCCTTATACAATCTGCACAGTTTTACTGGTTGGATGTCCAGACCCAGTGTGCTACATAAGTTGGACCACTGTTCCTGATCAAACAGGGCCCTGTTTTCCAGCAGACTACTGCTACAGTCTGGTACATTAAAGAGGATAACGCAGTTTGATCGACTGACCGTGGATTTAGGTTCGGTCCTCGCACATTTGTCATCCCCCTTAAGACCGTTTTGTTTCGTCTGGTGCAACTGGGTATTATTATGTGTCGCAGTGCTGTGGCCACTTTTACTGGTGGACGGTAAGGGTCTTTTCCCAGCGACAGGTACCCTTGGTGCTTCAACCTCTGTGTCTGGGGCAGTTATGGCAGGAATTGCAAGTATAACCGGTGTGGATTTTGGTATCCCCGATTTACATGCAATTGTGCTGTTTTCTGAGTTGGTGGGAGTAAAACGTTTCACGTTTTTTCCTGATATCTCTATGCCATCTGTAGCTTTCGAGGAACTACACGAGGCTGCATTAGGACGGCAACTTGGGCATATGTACCAGAACCATGGGCATGGGTTCTTACGCATAAAATCGTAATATACCTTTGGTACTCCGGTGTCACATCTACAATGTACCCATTGCTTACAAAAGTTACATTGGAAAGCAGAGTCTGCTTGTTCGACAATAGAATTGCAGACCTTGCAATCGTCTGCCTTCTTGGGGAACGTTTTCGTCGTCTTGCGACGTCGTGAACGTTTCTTATTGGTCTTCCTGTTTGTTTCAAGGCCTACTGTGGATATAGGTGTCATACTATTCCCACTTTGTGCAGATTTACCACTCGCCTCTATTAACTTAGTCGTGTTAACAGGGATGGAGCCACATCCGCTTAGTTGACTTTTCACAGTTTCACTGTAGGACTGTGGCAACATGGGCAATCTGTCCGAGCAGGGAATATTTGCCCTGGGCCGGGCTTAAAGCAATGCAATACTGCAACTACAGTTTGCAAAAAAGTCTCAGAGCTTAACATCAAAAAATGAGGGAGGGTGGCGCATGCTGATCAGCAGATATGGCAGTGGTCACAATTGTGAATCGCTCCAACCTGTACGACAGCAACATGCATTTTTTGACAGCCCGAGAATTAAACATTAATCTGGACCCTCAACAAATAATAATAAGTATTGTACAGATCTAATTATAAATAAAAATGTGCTTTGGCTCCTATCTACAAGCCTGTTCAGCTTCTTGTCAAGATGCTACCCATTAGGCCCTACAGAAATTCGTGAGGCATCTTACGGGTCAGCTTGTTCTCCGGCTTCTAATTTTCCAGATCTTTGAACTCACTCCTCACTTAAATACCACTTACCTACCTCACAATCATCTTTCTATTTACGCACTATTATATTCTATCTGATCTTAACTATCTAGGCCTTTATTGAAGCTGAAACTTGCTCTTTATTATTATTTGCTGCTTGCTTTAAGTCTGGTTGATTTGATTAAAAACACGAAAACACGAATGATTGAACAAAGCTTTATTTTCATCGGAAACGTGATAGTCTCCATGCTTAGACTAATATGGTTAGCATTAAACATTGCAAATGTATACTATCATTTCAAGTACTATATAGCTTCTTCTTGTATTTATCTTGTAAATATACTTCCAATAATGTATTATGCACAACTGCATTTTAAACCATTTTGCAGCTGCTCGGAATTTCCTTCTCTTCCTGAAATAGCTTTCAAGCACGTGGGGGCATAGCACTCACTCAGATATACGCTGTTCACTAGTTGACCATAACTATCAGCAAGAAGCAGAACGAAGTTTGGGTTGTCGCTCAACTTTGATGGTGACTTCAGTGAAGGGTTTACAATTTAACATTTATAAGAACCTTTCCTAATTGCTTGTACAATAATTGAACAGTTCAAGCTTTTGAAAAATTATTGATTTATAATACTTCAGGAATGTAATTTATAACGTTACTGATCATGCATGTAAAAGTGGCATGCATTTCTTGTAAACCTACCCGTTTATACGAAATATAAATTATTATTATTTTATATATATCTATATCAGTAATAATAATAGTGTAGTTAGTTGTCAGAGTAAGACGGGAGAGAATGTAAAGAAGTAGAACGACGAAATTAGTTGTCTACGCCGAATGGTGTATGGGATTTAAGGGGATACGCCATTTGGATGAGGTCCTTGTGTCGCTGCATGATTGTCCATCCTTCGCTTAAAGGCGTCCACAGACGGTGCCATAGCTACATCTGCCGGTAACATGATTCGAACGATGACTCCCATAAATCATACACAAGTACCGGGGACCTAATTAAAAATCCCAACTTAGTTTATCCTTTTGCATCAAGCCTTTAACGGCCTCGGTTCACTTTAAGTCGACCTTGTGAAAGGAGGACAATTCAAACATTTTGCACGGTCAGAGAAGTTTAGAAAATGCCTCTGGAGCGTCTTGAAGAAGAAGGTCTTGAGAAAATTCCCAACTTAAGATTAGCGCAATGGGTTTTCCGGGCTGGATTAACTAAGACTCCCGATACGATGCGTAAAGAACTTATGGCAAAAATTACCAAGTGTATACAAGATGATAGTAAGTTCATGATAATATTGAAGTCACTGCTTAAAACAAATCAAAACTTACAGTTTTTAAGATGACTTTTAAGATGGCTTGATGTATCTGTCTTTTTTGCTATGCATGTATCCATTTGATTTTGTTTAAGAATCAGCCTCACCATAAGAGTATGTTTAGCTTGAATCGGCATCAGTATGAATTATTGTCTTCATTTTAAATTGCCTTCACACCCAATGCAACCGCGTATTATTGCATCTTGAAAATATTTAGGTGCCATATGACAGTATAGAATAGTAATTTTAATAAGTTTATATTATCAGGTAGACTTTGGTAAAAATACACCACTTTAATCTACTGTGTGGCTATTGCAATGATGAATATCAATTAATCTCTTGATTAAATACGCAAGGTTTTCTAGTCTTATTCTCGAACATTTTTGATGAACTCTAACTGTTCCATATAAACCCATATTAAATTTTTTGAACATATCGTTGAGAAGCCAAATTTCAATAGTCGGAATATGGATTCATAATGATGGTGCTTGAAGTGGGTGACGTTATTGAACCCCATTAACGCTCGAATGGGAATTCCCAATTTGCTTTTTTTCCTAACAGAATGGGTCCATATATCGGTCTTTCAACTGTAACTAAGATCGAAAATGTTGTCTGTAGTTCGAATTGAAGTAAAACAGAAGTCTCTAATTGTATGTCCAAAAAATTGTGTACGGTTTCGGCAGTGAGTTATTATCCAGACTAATGAAAGCACTACCTAACGTAATGGATTGTGCCAACTCACTGGTGTCAATCGTTGATCACCTCAGCTTATAAGAATGGAAACAAATCTTTTGAAAGTCACAAAATGATTGGGTTAGCTTAAATGCTATATAAACCAGTAGGGTTGTTAGTCCTGAAAAGCCTACATGGTATTCGAATGAAATAAACCTAAGTGAACCCGGTAGATTAGTGTTTATAAGTCGGAAGGTAGGCCCTCCTGTGGTAATCAAAGGAGGATTAGCTTGACTCACTTTGAATCCTAAATCTGAGGTCGTGCGCAAAGTTGGCGGTGCTCAAAAGAAGCAGACTCGTGAACGCCAGGGCCAGACGAGTTTGTATTGGTTATCTCCTCTATTTATGACATATTCTGGATGTTAGGCATACTTACCCGCATCTAACTTGCTGTATTTCTTGACCTGAAGATATTGACTCCGAAGTGCTGTGTCAGTGTTTGGCCGTGAAGGCATCACTGATAAAGTGTGTCGCACTAATCAAGCCACTGCTGGAACTGACGTTGCCGCGTAAGAGCTTACGCAGAGTTGTCATGTAAAGTGATATCAACCATTAGTGTCTGTCAAGGTTAGCTTATGTCTCATTTTTATTTAATTTCATTGTAGAGGCACTGATTGATGCGACCCTAATTGACTTTAGGGATTTAGGAGGCGGGTGGAGCGTGCTGATGACTTAACTCATTCGGAAATCTGTATTGGCCTCAGTAGACAAAATCTCAGAATAGATACAAAAGGCTCTTGTCATCTTCAGCCTAGACATGATATCCAACTACCGATCAAAGAACGTGTGTACTGCGAAGCATTTCGCTTTATCTTCGTTTTTGTCTATGAGACATAGTCATTAAGAGTGGGAGATGCAAAGAGGTTAACTATCTCTGACCACAGATATTTGTATTGTCTCCTGCATTAAATGGTGTAATGTGATAAGTTATATTGAAGTTAGTCGTAGAATGTTAAGTAAATAGGGTAAGTGAATGGATGAAGTTATCCTTTTGAATCTCTTGTTTTTCTCGTTTACTTTTGTGTTTTGCATGAGAGGTTTAGTTGTGAAGCTTTCGTTGTCTTTCTAGACAACATCTTCAACGCATGCATTAGTGTAAAGTGAGCTCTTGGAGTTGTCCACGAGTTTACCCGGCATCCCTCTATGTAACTTTGAAGGTGGTTAGTTGTTTCTGGATATTTTCTCACCTTGTAGTCCACTCGTATTAGTATTGACTGTTCTGTTAACCTTAAAGTTGACCTTCTGTCCATCTGACTTCCTTTTCAATGATTGGCAAATTTAGTCTATGTCAATATGTCTGTTGATTCCAGACTCGTCCAAGTACTGGGCTCCTAGAAATTCCCTGGCATTTTTGTTGCTCCGTCTTTCTAAAGTTTGTATATTTTCTCAGTCGAATTGGTGTTTGTCGTTGTCTGCGTGCATTAGTATTTGGCAATGAATGTCATATCATTCGACAGCCAGTTTATGTTCGCGGATGCAAAGACAAAGAGAGTGTTCACTTTGACCAATATAATGCTTTTCACATTTGTTGTAATTTGTCTTGTAGATACTGTTGGTTATGTCTTCTTTTGCTGTTGCGTCTTTTGATTGACATATTATCTATTGAAGTGATTTTCCCGCCTTGTGGGCGATGGCTATTTCAAAAAGTTTCAGCAGTCTTGCTGGGATTTCAGAAATATTCTTTGTATATGGTAGGGCCATTTTCTTTGTGCTTTCATTGGGTACCTTTGAGTTGGTTGGCTAGGTTGAGGATAGCATCTTTTTGTGACATTTCATGGATATCCATTTTTATGGAAGACTGTTACATTTCTTTTCTATTTACCTAAAGGCAGGAATACTACAGTGAATCCTGGCTCTTCTGAATAATGTTTGTGTGTAACTCCCTTTTGTTTTCTGTTGGGTTCTTGCTGTTGTATTTGGTCTGTATCCTTGAATTCCTAATTTTTCTCTGCTTATTCGCTTAATAAAAACGTTTAAAAATGGGGTTTTGCTCCCACATTCCTATTCTCTTGTAAATTTGGTATTGTCGAAGACAGTTAATTAGCTTGCGAGTGTTTTCTAAACCGTATGTACTAATTATCACGAATGTGTCGTCCACATAAGATATCCAAATTCCGGGTTTAATTTTATGTCAGAATAATTATTTCAGGTCTTTGAGCAACAGTTTAGGCAACTAGTCCTGATGTGGGCGGTCTCATAGGTGTTCCCTTTGTCTGTTCATATATTTGACTATTGAATTGGAAGTATATTAGTAGACGTAAATTCATGCATGATTAATATTACCTGAAGTGTACTAATTGACAGATCATAGTAGAATTTCACTCGGAAGTGCATCGATTCAAATTGCCACATGTCGAAACAGCATACACAAAACACAGATGGAACAAAAATAAAATAATAATGCGATAAACAAAACTCGGTGTTTATAGAAAGAATAAATGAAAGCATTCAGAATTTTATGGATAATAAAGTGAATAAATCCTTGCCTTTGTGGATGATCTCAAACAAACCACAGTGCGACACAATTGGTCCTTATTATTCTGAAGACCTCAGCCAGGAAATCGGTCTGCCGTGGTTCAGATGAACAATCGCAAATTTTGTAAATTGTTGCCTTGTTTTAGTTTAATCATCCTTAACTGTTTTTCAAACACTCAACATTATTCATCTATCGAAACTGTAGCTGGACATGCTTAATACATCCTGGCTACCTGAATCGATGATGACTCACAATCTCACTATTGGACTTACCTTCCTTATCTAACACTTTTTGGTGTAGGTGTGTCATCGGAGCTGGATAATTTAATTCCGAAACTTCCATTGCCTTACTAGATAACATCCTCAGCGCATGCTTCAGTTTGTAGTAAGCTTTCGAAATCCTCCACGAGTTTAGTTTTATAAGCTTACTTCAAACTGAAGTATGCTCTAAGGATGTTGTATAGTAAGACATCGAAAGCCTCCTCATACGATTTAAATGAGAGAAATTCATAACTTGACTTAGTAATGTGTTAATTCTATGCTACACTTGGTTATTAGTTTTATTATTTTTTGTTAGTATTCACATTCTGTAAACATTCTGCTTTGTTTCTTTTTCAGATATGGCTGCATATTATGAGGTTGTCTGTAAAGAACTTGATCTTCCAGTTGATCAGCAAGTTTTAAAGTCAATGCAAGCGGTGAATGAAGCAAAAATCAAGGAATTGGATGCAAAAATCAAAGATGCTGAAGAAAACTTGGGTGATACAGAAGTGAGAACGGCTATGATGGAAAAAGCACATTATCTGAGTAAAATTGGTGATAAGGTAGGCAGTCAATTTTATATATATTTACGAAAATAATTCATCATTTTCTCAATTTAGGAAGGAGCTTTATCACAATTTCGGCTTATTTTGGATAAAAGTTTAATGCCTGGCTTCCGATTAGATACAATCTTTCATATTATACGAATTGGTTTCTTTTTCGGTGACAGAGACTTGATTACAAAAAATATAGAAAAAGCGAATAGGTAAAGCTTATTGTTGTTGTATTTAGATAACGCGCTTCTATAATAGTTTAATTGAAGAAGGAGGCGATTGGGACCGAAGAAATCGACTCAAAGTGTATCGCGGCTTGTACAGTATGTCAGTCCGGGATTTCGGTGCTGCTGCTAAGAACTTTCTCGATGCTGTTGCCACATTCACTAGCTATGAATTAATGGATTATAAAACATTTATCATATACACCGTTATGGCTGCTATGATTGCTCTTAAACGTCCAGATCTTCGTGAAAAGGTAAAATACTTGTCAAATAATATTGTGGTCCTCTAAATGTTTACTGACAATGGTCATTGAGTAGTTGATGTTAGTTGCTTTTGATGAATAACTTTTGGATTTAGTTTGTGACCAATTTTCCGTTTTTTATTTTGCATTTTCAAACCACAAATTGTAGACTGCTAGTTTCTGTTTAACTGGAATCCTGTGTCATTATTTAGGTGTATATGTGTGCGTTGGTGGCACAGTGGTTAGGACTCTCGCCGACCATGCACATGGTCCGGGGTTCGATCCCCTGCCGACACAAACCTGATATCTATGGTCGGCCTGCAAAATTTGGGCTACCGATATCACATGCTGAAAATTCCATACCTGTACCAAAAAATACGGTGTGGAATCAAGCTGTAATAAAAAAAATTAGGCAACTGATAATATGTCATCGCATATATTACAATTGTGATTCCTTTAGTACTCACAAATTCATAAGAGCGAACGATGTTTATGAGTAAATTTCATTCTGATTTTAATGTAGATAGAAAGCACTGGTTTACTCGAAGTTTAATCTTTGAACACTTGACCATAGGATACCAGGTGAATGTTACAGATGTTAGTGATTGACTGAATTAGTTTCAACGTAGAACTTTAAACACACAGAAGTGCAGCAGTTCAGGTTGCCACAATTCATGTCCCTTGAAAATCCCCATTGAGTCAGTATAAAAGAAAAGGCGTTTAGCGATATCACTCTTAAGCTGGTGCGTCAGTGGCATAGCGGTCACCAATAACAGTCTCTGCACATTGGTTGTTTTTATCCTGAGAACCCCAACCAGACAGCCTACATCTCCTTACGTGGTTAAAACCATCAGTCGAAGTCTTCATTGACTGATTACAGGTTTTGATTTGACCACCTGTTACTCTTTTCCAAACTAACCTCATCTATTAACTTACCCTCACTAACTAACGCTACACCTCACCTGGATGTTAATTACCACCTAAGAAGGGGATAAAACGCAAGCATCTGTGGACAACGACAGCCAACCTCCTCATATCCTCCACTTCCGATGACCATGTCTTACAGCCATAAAGGGGGATGGGGCGTAATGTTGAGCGGTACACACGTCCTTTTGGTCGACAGCCGGATATTACGTCTACTGCAAAGATGACGCGTAGGCTGGCAAATGTCACATGAGCCTTTGGTATCAGTAATCAGTCTGTTAGAGCTGATGCAACTCCCACAAATAAGTGTAATGGTCAGCACACTCAACCACTTCACTCCCTATCCTTAAGCTACGAGTTGGTGCCGTCCAATCCTGCAGGAGTGAATCGCATGCCAAACATTCTCACAGGTTTCTGTTCAGTGTTTACAAAAAACTCATTTTGTCAGCATTTTCACCTAGATGAAGACAATATCATCATCCGCATACTCTAAGTCAACAAGACAACCTCCTGGTAACAAGAAGTCAATCCCTAAGTTGCTTAAGTCAGTTAGGAGCGCAATTCCATTTGTACATCTGCGGTGATATTTTCTAACTGCTCTTGTAACTTAACGACGACTCGTTTTAAAATGATAAGCAACCAGTAAAAATGTGTAGTGAGTTATCTATGTACTGTTAGTTTCATAACTTGAGTAATAAATATTTGTTTGTGTGATCAGATTGGGGTAAACTTAACAAATAAACTACTCACAAAATGTGGTGTTCACAATTACCGCTAGTTTGCAATGAAAGTATAAAAGGATTCTGTGTTTTTGGATAGCATTTACTATTCATCGACCTTATTTTTATCTTTAGGTTGTTCGTGGTTCAGAGATTCAAGAAGTCTTGCATGGTTTACCAAATGTTCGGGAATATCTGATGTCTTTATTCGACTGTCGTTATGCTGATTTCTTCCGTTCCCTTGGTTAGTTAGTCAGTTATATTCTATGCTAATAGCATGTTATTATATATTTGTTTATTTGTTTTTCATTTTGGGTTCCAAGTGGAGCATAGGGCTTGAAAGACATATCTTCATTTCATTCTGTTTCCTGTTATCCTCTCCAGCTAGGCCCACGATTGCCCGTAATCTCTCATTTCCTCCTCTCACGATCTCCTCCATGTCACCCCCGCATTGACGACCCACTCATCGTTTCCCATTAGAATTCCACTCGAGTGATGGTCTGCATTGAGCGCGATGTCATTCGACAGTCTCGTCAGCGTATGCCCAATCCATCTCCATTTTCTCCTACATATTTGTTAAGCAATCGGCTCTTGGTTGTTTTGTCCCCATAATTTCCGGCTGCTAATTGTTTCTGACCGTTAGATCTTGAGTATGGAGCCGGTGGAAGCAGCTACTGATAAAAGTTTGTAACTTGTTGGAAATCCTTTTCGTGATACGCCAATTTTCTGATCCATATAGAAGAACTGAATTCACATTTGTGTTGTGTGCATTGTTCGAATTAGATAAGTTTATTTGATAAAACACATAGTATGACACAGTGTTTATAACTGGATGATGTTTTGAGAGCAATTTATTCCTCATAATCATATCAATATGTTCACACAGCTTGCCAATTTGCTTTATGTATTGTTTTCCGTCTCCCTTCCCCCTTGCCCTTGTTGTTTATTGCAATTCTCCATATCTCTAGTATAGGCGTTGAGCCATCTAAATTGCACGTGTTCAGTGTTGATTCGATGAACACAGACTCACTGATTAACCTCGCTTTTTCTCTCTCCATCTCACTGTATTACCATTTAATACTCCCACCCTACTGTGTGTTTACACGAAAGCGAATGCGGTCAAATAGCTGAGCTTTTTCCTGGATTATTATAATTTATCAGGACTAATCATTCTACATCTACGTCCAAATTTCTATGTTCCGATGATCAGAATACTCTCAAATGACTAGTTTGATTTATGCAATTGACCCCACAGTCATTAGGATGGTATTTGGTGAATTATGTTATTTTTTTTTCTTAATTGGATCTATCGGGTTCTTGAAACGACTAGCAGTGGAATTTAGGATGAGCATTTCGTCTCACTATACGGATCAGAGACTTGGCGTGTCACAAAGAGCACCTCAAACAAGCTACAGACCTTCATTAACAGATGTCTTCGCTCAATACTCAAGATCAGATGGCCGGAAAGGATCAGCAACAAAGATCTCTGGGAGCGAACCAACCAGGAACCGATTGTGAAACAAATAGGCAGGAAGAAATGGAGATGGATTGGCCACACTCTGAGGAAACCATCAAGTGACACCACACGACAGGCCATTGCTCGAGTGGAACCCGAAAGGGAAGCGGCGAGTTGGTCGTCAGTGCAAGGGTGACCTGGAGGAGATCATGTGAAGAGGAGATGAAAACGTGTGGGCAGACTTGGAGCCAGGTGAAAACTCTAGCAGAGAACCGAACGCAATGGAGATGCATGGCTGAAGCCCTATGTTCCTCTAGGAACTAAAGGAAATAATAATAATAATTTCGTCTCACTTGGGACTCGCCCTCTGGATGCAATTGTATTCGCCAGTGAGTGATGGTGTTTTCCAACCCCCCTCCTCCCACACACGCTAAGACTCAAATCCAGTACCGATTGTTTCAAATGCTCATCCTGGATTCCACTGCTAGTCGTCACCATTCAGCAAATTACAGTTCAAGTCAATCATCAAGCATCTTCGAAGAGTTCCTACTAGAGAGCCGGCGTGTCAGCTAAGGCTGGACGTTTCAATCCAATCAGTCAGTCAGTCAGTTTCGGGAAAATCAAAAATGAATAATTAAAAAAATACTAAAAATGATTCGTTATTAACAAACATTTGCTGACTATAGAGGCAGGAGGCAAAGCAAGTGTATACTTGCAAGTTTAGACAATTCGAAAGAAATAAAAATGATAACTAAACAGTTAAACAAGGTTGAAGAGCAGATATCATAACTCAGCACCGTTTTTCATTTTCTTTTTCTTCAAATTTAATACATCTAACATGCTGTTAACACCAATGTGAAGTCAGTTCTTCTATATGGGTCAGAAAATTGCGTCACTGTGCTGCGTCACGAAAAGCATTTCCAACAACAACCAGTTGCAAACTTTTATCAACAGCTGCTTTCGCTGGCTGTATGTTGAGAAGATCAAATGGCCGGCCACATAGAATTAACAACAAGCAACTCTAGCAACAAACTAACCAAGATTTAATTGAATTTTAGATTTTCCCTTCGATTGATTGAACCGAAGTGCTCGGTCTCAGGTTGACATGTCGGCTTCTTGAGCAGATGCTTCGATGATGTCTGGGCATTGAATATTAGTATTTAATTGGTGGATGGCGGCTAGCGGTGGAATCCAGGATGTGTATTTCGTCCTATTTTGGACTCGTCATCCGGATGTACCTGCATCGGTGGGAATATCATCACTCACTGAAAAATGCAGGTACATCCAGATGACGAGTCCAAAATAGGACGAAATGCGCATCCTAGTGGATTCCACTGCTAGTCACCATCCACCAATTAAACTAACCAAGAACCTATCGTTCAACAAAAATATTTAGGAGAAAATGGAGATGGATTGAGGGGGCATACACTGAGGAGGAGACTGTCGAATGACATCGCACTCCACGTCATCACTCGAGTGGCATCCGAATGGGAAACAAAGAGTCAATCGTCTTAGGATGACATAGAGGAGATGAGCGATTATGGCAAATCGTGGGCCCAGATGAAGAGGACAGCAGAAAATAGAACAAAGTGGAGGTGTGTTGTTGTAGTAATAATTCAAACAATGCAAGAAAAACGGTTCATACAGAATAAGATATTACCATCATTTATTTCGTTGCCTCCTCATCAACTACGTTACAGCCTAAATAAATTATTAAGCTTATGTACAGAACAATTTTAACATACTTGCAAATGTTGCATTATGCTAGTTGACAAGAAACTCCAAAGTTAGTGAACAGTACTCAAAAATCACACTTATACAGCTTATACACAAAATTCGAGTTTAAGCAAAGAATTACGGCTTAGATACAGTAGAAATGGAGGTGACTATTAATGTCAAGGGGTGGATGTAATGATGATGGGCAGCTAATAAGTTAAGTAACAAACAATGTGCTGGATTGAACTCAAATCACCGAAACACAAGATAAGCAAAATTAATTGATAGCGAAGGGGAAGAGGTCATGTCATCAATTAAAAGAGAGAATAATAACATTCAGTTACCCAGGGCAAGGAAAGACGACTGATAACTACATCTTTTTGAACACATACATCGGGTGTCATGCGCTTGATAACAATTGTTTTGGCGAAATTGTGAAGAATTGAACTACTTGGGCTACTGGTAATTCTAAAAGATTTCAAGGATGTCATAATGCGTATCAATGAGATGCCTTTCAATATGGCACTACTGCAAGCTTTTGTTCCTTTGGGACTTTGACTTTTTGCTATAGGTCCAGAGAACCGTAGGCTTGCCCTTCTTTGTGTCCTCTCAATATAACTGCCGCTGCCGATGAATGTAAGTTTATATACACAGAGCTAACGAAAGAAGGCTATATGTTGACCTATAATTGCATCAGACAGCATGTTGTCTGATAAACGGGAATCAGCTTAGCTGCAGGATAGGTTCCGTTGATTATTCCTGCAATATTATCACCTTTAAAATTTAATTGAATGAAGGTTGGCTTCTTTTCCACTTCTTCCGTTCTTATTAATGAACTTCTGAGGAAAACGTTTACTTCTCAACATTTTTTTTTCGAAAATCAGAAATTCTTCCTCTAATTTCTCTGTAATACAGAGTTTTCACCAGTACTCATTTATAGGTATTTGGATAAAAAACTATTGATATTCAGGGATTTGATTGGTTTCAGGATTACATCATGAACTGACATCGGGTTATAGAACCATTGGAAAACCTGAGAGTAATGCACAGCTGTTTCGCCGTAGTTTGGGACTCTTCGGGAGTGCGCTCCCTCTGGTGCTCTAACCCAGCATCTTCCGGTTACAAGGCGAGCTGGTAAACCATTACGCTACTGGGAACCAATCAAATCGCCCATGAATTCTAACTTCTAGCAATTCACGATATGACGCGACTCCTAGCGAATGTCATCGGTGGTGAGTATTTGTTCCCACGCCCGAAATTGGAATTGAAGTACTTTACATTCCATGTAGGCTTTCGATAAACTAATCCCTGGAGACTGCCGTCTTCCAGGTGTTGCATGGAATGAATTTTCGAAAGGTTTTCTGAATAAACATTAGTGTTCTCATCTCTGCTTCCTTACTTAGCTAGTAACAGCTCAGTTACCCGGTACGGGTACTTTTATTGTGTGCAGGCTGACGTAGGTAGGGGGAAATTCGAAACCGTAGATCCAGTGACTGACAATCGAGAGTCTACACCAATGAACCACATCTTTACTTAGTACTTGTATATTTGTTGTATTTCTCGTCAATTGGTTTTTATTGAACCGAAATTCCCTATCTCTGTTGAACACAAAACGTGGTCCTCATGGACCAATGGGTGATGCTTATGCATTTGAAACGTTGAGCTATCGCTTTTAAGAATTAAGTTGGAACACCATCAGCCATCCACTCACTCACTGAAGATTCAGGTACACCCGGATGATGAGTCTCAGCTAGACCGAAACGCTTGTTATAGATTTCACAGAAAGCAAATTCAATTCGATTATGACAAACAAGTTTAAACATTTACAGCCTAATTATTGATTGAATAGTGACATAAAAGAACGCAGTTTCATGTTAGACGATAGTTTATATGTGGGTTAAGACCCGATAATAGGTATTTATCTGCGTAATCATATCTGTAATCATAAGCAGAGGGGAGGGGGCGCGGGTGGTTGAACAGTTATCAGCTCTGCCTAATATGGTTTTGTTAAGTTTCAATTTATATATATTTTTTCTGTTTCAGCTGGAGTTGAACAGTTTATGAGCTGTGATCGATATTTACATTTGCATACAAGTTATTATGTACGTGAAATGCGTATTCATGCACTCAGTCAACATCTGGACTCATACAGTAGTTTGAGTTTAGAAAGTATGGCTACTTCATTTGGTGTAACTCCAGCATTTTTGGATAATGAATTATCACGTTTCATAGCCAGTGGTAGACTGGCTTGTAAAATGGATAAAGTCTCTGGTATTATTGAAACAACACGTCCAGATAATGTGAATTTCCAGTATCAGGTAAGTTACGTTGCAGAACATCTAACCATTATTTAAAAAATTTTTATTCCTTTATGTTTCGAGTGGAACATAAGGCTTTTTGAAGTTTCGGTAGCAGTGGGTTTTTAAAAAAAATTTTTACGGTTTAGGGTTTCTAGCCTCCCGCCCAATTTTTCCTCTTTACCAGCCTACCTAGGAGTGCGATGGCCGGAAGTCGAACCCCGAGAGAGAGAGAGCATTTTACCGCTGGAACGACTGATTCGCTTAACCACCACTTTTTAGCATTTTTACTGCAGATTTTTAGATTTATGGATACTTGGATTGATTTAATTTCAACTGTTGGGTTTTTTCGCGAACGGTGATCATTTAGAGAGATCATCGGAAGGCAGGGAGCATTGAACAGCTGTTTCGTCCTAGTTTGGATGCGAGACCAATTTTCATGACCATTCATTCAGCCATTTGTGTAGGAATCCAGTGTCCTATGAATTGTAACCTTTGTCAACTCGTGATATAGCGCAGTGTTCTTTACCAATGCCTTTGATGAGCATCCACTTCAATATGGGCATGTTGAGCCCCACTGGTCACAACTTCTCACTACCGCTTCAAAACATCCATCGAGTGGTCATCAGTGAGCTAGAGATTGGATATTTAGATTATGGGATTTGTGTGGATTCCTTTTTTTAATTTTTCCTTCACGTTCCCCAGTGGAACATAGGGCTTCAAGCCACTAGCTTGAAGTTTCTGTAGCAGTGTTTATTTTACAGGATGAAGTTACTAGCCTCATGCTCAACCTTTCCTCTTCACCAGCACTATTTCTGGCTTAGCGAGGTAAAAGAGTGCGTCGGCCGGGGATCGAACCCCGGACCATGTGCATGGCCGGCGAGCGACCAAACCGCTATGCCACCGACGCACAGATTAATATTATTTGTTAGATTTCATCACAAACGAATATCAGTTGGAGAGACCATTGGGAAAAAAGGGAGCACTGGATAGCTGTCTGCCTTGTTGTATTTTGTGACTTTTTAACAATGTACACTCACGACTTCACCCGAGTGTCTAACGTGAAACCCTCAGGCTAGGCGGCCAAGCTTATGAGGTCGTGGCAACTTAGTTGTAGGCAGTTTAGGTATCGAAGTTTCATGTGCGACTCATGGTCTGCTTCCTATCGGTGTGTGGGAAGCTGTGGCTCAATCAATACCAGGCTTAAAAACATTTGTAAAACGTTGACTTATTCCGTCAAACGTACTTGGGGTCTGGATTTGATTGCAGACTGATGATATTCAGTGCTTATCTGGACTCATCGTGGACTGTTTAAGACTAGTTATTATTGTACCTGAATGGCCAAACAAAAATCAACCTGGTATCAGTAATTAGAAGAATTCCACGAAGTTTTCATCATAGGAAGTACTTTTTGTAGTTATTTCTCAGTTGCTAGAATGTAATCCTTTGTATTTGCATATTGTGTATATTCGTATTCTCAGTTAGTCACTCTCGTCTGAATACATGGTTTGAAGTACATAATTGATACTCATAATCAAAAATAAAAGGATTGCTTTTCTACCGTTATGTGATTGCCTTTCCCCTAAGAGTTTAAGGTCTCTTTTTTCCCACTCAGTAAATTTACATCGCATACCTATAGTAAATTTTCTTTTGTTGACCAAAATAGCCTACTTAATTAGCACTAAAAGTAGTTTAAGTGAATTTGAGTGAAAATTCATTTCTTACGTTACATTTGAGTCAAAAGGTGACTGTAAACTGATGCCTACTGGTTCTTGAAATGCGGTTTCCTAATGGTCATAAAATACACGATAGCATAAAACTTATTATATCAAGTGTGTATTGTGAAGTTTTAATAGTTTGAGCAACTTGTGTTATTCTTGTTGAAACTGTAAGGTACCCTTCTGGGTTGTCTGACAATATATAAAAATGAATAGTCTTTTCTGTGATATTATCACTTTGTTTCAATTGTCTCTTTTGATGTATCCAATTAGTAAGTTTTCAGGGTCCTTCTGTGACTCATTAGTTTCGTGTAATGTCACTTCAGGATAGGGTTCAAACTGTTTGAAGTCCTACGCCTCTCTGTGTCGACTGTATCCAAATAATCCACTCATGATCTTAATTTCAAACGAACGAAGAAGCCATCTGACGTCCAGATTCTAATAATCTGCACAGCAACCACTACTGGTTTTCTCGAGTAGTCTCCAAGTGCTTATGTTCATTAGTAGTAAATACCGTCTTGCTATTTTACTTGTATCCTTGGTTTTCGTTACAGTATCAAGTGGATCACATATTGTGATGTGAATATTCTTAGTTTCCAGAGAAAACTGTAGTAAATTTTCACCTCTAACTGTGTGATATTTGCGAATGAAAAGTTTTATTCCACGCCTTATTTTCACTGACAGTGGTTAGTTCGTGGTTAGTAGCACTTAAAGGAGTCCACTGTCCTGTTGAAAGAAATCAAGAGTTATAACTAGTCCTTATATTTTTCAAGAAGGCACAGGCTCTTTATTGAAGAAGTGCGGTCATTGGTTTGAGACTACTGGGGACTAATTGTAATCTTTTGCCGAGCTTAGTTACTCATTTGTTGTTTCTGTCTCATCTTTTGCCGTGTAACTCTTTTTTACTAAAGTTTAAATGATAATACAATAAGACTATTTAGCGCGTGATGTCATTCGACGGGCTCCTTAGTGTGTGCGTGTGTCTGATCCATCTTCATTTTCTTCGGGATATTCTTTGAGCGACGGGTCCCAGAGCTCCTTGTTCCTGTTGATAGAAGCTTGCAGCTGGCTGACGGGCTGAGCTTCTGACCAAACTGATTTCAGAGTGATGAAGATCTGCCTTACCTTTCCAACCTCGGTTGGTTTAGACATCCTCATTGGTGCCGACTGTCTACAGTTGGAATGACTACTGCCTAGATAAGTGAAGGAAGTTGCCTCTTTCAAATTTCTCCTGTTGATGGGGACTGGTCGTTTGTAATCTTACTCACCTCTGTCTTATGTCATCATGAGTTTGAACCAATCTCTCTACATCTTTCTTCATACTAGTGTAAATATTTTTTATACAATAAATGTGATGGTTAGTGTGTTAAGGAAAGACGTAAAGGATTCATTCATTCATTCATTTATTGATTCTTATTTTCATGTGTACACATGGTTAATCAACCAGGTTACAACATCACAGAGTGTTTGTTATTTGGACTCAGTTGCCTGAAGCACATTTTCGATGCACTAGGCTACAGGTCATGGAGTTATTATTTAAAAAGGCTGATTGTTCCACCCCAGTTGTTCAAGATAAAGTATGTACAACGGTACTCGAACTGGGGTTAGGGCTCTCAAGCAGGCGATCCACATCTTTAAGAACTGAGTAGGTTGTAATATTAAATTATAAAATATATATATATATATATCCGAACAGAATAAGACCATTTCTTGTTCTTTTAGTTACTGATACATGTGTATATCGCTGATTTTAACTGAGTTGGGAATACTATCTTGAAATCAAAAAAAGTATTTTTCCTACTTAATAATACGTAAAGGACATCGGGGGCACAGTGGTAGAATGCTTGCCAACCACGCATATGGTTCGGGGTTCAATCCCCGGCCGGCTCACTCCTTTACTTTGCTAAGCCAGTAATGAGACTGGTAAAGGGGGAAGGTTTGGTATGAGGTTAGCAACCCCATCTCGTAAAAATAAATACCACTGCTACTGAAACTTCAAACCTCTAGCTTGAAGCTCTATGTTCCACTGGGAACGTAAAGGAATAAAAAAAGTAATATGTAAAATACTGCAAGTTATTGTATGCCTTCTGTGAAAAGTAAATAGAATTATTAAAAAGACAATTGCAGCGAAGAAAATTTTCTTTTCGACGAAGTCATCATCTGGGCTGTACATTCGTGTATTTATATCAAATGGATGGGAAAGTTCCAGAATAATCTCCGGTTAAGGGTCAAATTAATAAAAATTACAATTAGGAATTAGAATGCCGTAATAAACACGGGGATGGATAAAACTCGAACAAAGTAGCATTATAATAACTAAGAAGATTGACATTGTGCAATTGGGGGTTAGAAATGTAGAAATAACAAAATATACAGAATGTTTGGATAAAAAACTAATATGATGAATAATTGTTTATGCAATCAGGGATTAAATATGTAGAAATAGTAAAATGACAAAATAAACAGGAAGTGTGGATATGAAAATATGGTAGTGTAGACAGGGATTAAGAAAAACAGGAAGTTTAGATAAGAAAGGCGATGAGATTGTCATTACTAAAAAACTTTTACCTGTTTATGATGGCCATGGTAGGGAGAGGGGTTGGACGTAATTCTTTTGGATACAAAGGGTGGGTTTGAGCATTTGGATAGCTAGCGCCTCAGCTATGCCCAGATGTCTTGGTTTGACTCTCTTTGATAGGTTTGATTGAATCTTGTATATTACTTTGAAGGATTTTTCGAAAGGCGCTGAATGTCCTGAGTTGACCAGATGTTCTGTCACTGAACTGTATATACGTTTTTGGTCTCCTTTTAGTAGCCAGGCTGGGTAGTGTTCGCGAGCGCGTTTTCCAAGTCGGCGCATGGTACGGCCGATGTACTCAGCTCCACAAGAGCAAGTAAATGGAATTAAACTACTCAATATTTAATTCTTTAATGTGAATATTTTTCAGTTCTGTAGACAGTACATCTATCTATTCAGACAATTTAGAAGAAGAATTTAGAAAGTTTGAGCAAAGAATATCCGCATTTTTGATAAATTCCTCGTCTAGGTGTACAAATATATATATATATATGAAACAATATTTAAGAATGATCTTTATTGCCAATAATGGTGTTTTTAACTAATATGGAGTTGTTATGATCAGTGGAAAACATGTTTAAGGGATAATAGGTATTAAAAAAATGTAATACCAAGTTAAATATCAGGTAAAGTCAAGCATCAAATTTGTGCGACAATTGACGATTGTTGAAACAGTTATAACCAAGATAAGGAATGATTGTGGGCTCAGTACCTATACGATGAGCAGCTAGAATACAGCTTGTGAATAGACCTAGTTTATCCCTTTCTTAACTATGCTGGATGATGTTTAGAAATCCGACGATAAACCTGCCTAATTGTACGTTCAATGCGCAACTGGCTCCACAAAAGCAGTTAAACGGATGGGGATACATATTGTGGAGGCAAAATTAGATAGCTTATCTCTTAACTCCTGAAAGTAAAGTAGGAATGAATGTAAAGAGACAGTGAATTTCAGTGGCATCATGGGATGCTTTTTTCATTGCATTGTTTTTAAGCATTGTGTTTGTGTGTCATTATTTCACTGATGTTATCATGGGGGTACTAAAGTTTTAAGAACAAGGTCTTCTTTGAAATTATTGGTATATTAGCCTGTTTTATCTTTAGATTCATATTCTTGTCAGTGAGTTCCAGCCGGTAATTGTTTCATAATATTGATTTTTACGAGTTGATCACGGATTGGTATCAGCTACAGAACCATTGAAAACCAGGGAGTACTGGACAGCTTCTATTTCATCCTAGTTTGGGAATCATCGGCACTACGCACCCACTGGGATTCGAACCCAGGACCTTCCGTTTACAAGGTAAGCTCGTATACCATTCAACCACTGGGACCCGATTCAATGGCTCATGAATTCTAACTTGTACCAATTCGTGATTTAGCGCGACCCCAACCATTGTCGTTGGTGGGACATCCACCCACACACGTGACATCTAATCGAACCTCACTGGTCACGACTTCTCACTAGAACTCCAGGAAACTCCATCCTGTAGCAAGTCACTAGCGAGTACCAGATTAATTTTCTATAGTTTGGTTTGTAAGGGTTTGTTATGATTTTACGAGTTGATCACGGATTGAATTCTTCATTTAAGGCATTCTCATTGGTGTTAGATATCTCTTGCTCTGTAGACACTAGGCAGTTTAATTAAAAATTGCATGTATATTTTAAAAGTAAAATATTATTTAGAAACATTAGTTATTATTAATAAGGCTTATTCTTAAATATTGTATGTGTGCATGGACAACTGTAGATTCAGATGAGAAAGTTATCAAAACTGTGAATATACTCCACTAAAACCTGATTTTGTCTTCAAAATACACCTATTGCCATATTTGTTTGGAGCATTTCCTCATGAGCTGACATCAGTTAGAGAAACATTGAAAAACCTGGGAGTACTGGACAACTGTTTCGTCCTAGTCTGGGACTCTTCATCAGTACGCATCCACTTCAGCTGGGTTAGAATCCAGGATCGTCTGGTTAAAAGGCGAGCTCACAGACCAATGCCCCATGAATTCTATGTCATAAATTGGCAGAAGTTAGAATTCACAGCCCACTGGATCGGGTCCCAGTGGCTCAAATGTCTACGAGCTCGCCTTTTATAACCAGAAGGTCCTGGATTCTAACCCAGTCAGAGTGGGTGCGTACTTCTGAAGTGTCCAAAAGTAGGCTGACGAAACAGCTGTCTGGCAGTACTCCCAGCTAGTTTTCCAATGGTTCTCTAACTGATGTCAGCTCATAAATGAAATCCTCTAACCAATCAAACGAAAATCCCTACAAAAAAACAATACCTTGAATATATTGACATATTTATTGAGTATCTTTCGTTCTTCTGATTGTTATTATTTTGAAAACGCCTTTTAAATCTCATTATTACTATCCTCCGTTGTGTGTTTTCTTCAATTTTCTTTTTTAGTCAATGATTAAACAAGGCGATATTCTGTTGAATCGTATTCAGAAGCTCAGTCAAGTGATAAATATTTAATGAAGAGTGTGTACTGCCTTTCCTCTTTTTATTGTTGTTATGTGTAACAGAATATCACTAGTGACCTTATTGCACTGCACTGTACTGTATGTTTTTATGTATGTATGTATGTACCTTTTTGCTTGCGTAATGACACACAGAAAAAAAATATACTTCTCAAATGGTTTCGTTTTGTATCAGTTATATATATGTATATATAGTCACTACTGTATCTTCACTTTTCGACTCAATGTATACGTGGGATCCTTGTCCATTGAATTTCAAGGTGATAATAGAAATGGGATGTAAGTCGTTCGTGTTATTAATATTTGTTTATTGTTAGCAAAAAAGAGAGACAGCAGAAGAAAGCCACAGCATACATAATCTTGTTTGGTATAGATAATAAGCTGCACTTGGTAAAAGTCTTCAAACAGTGGAGTTACATAACGTTATGAATTCAAACCAGAAAGTGTTGTAATGCGCTGTGTTTTTTATAGTGTTGATCATCTGTCAGCTTCTTCAACGCTTTTATATCTTTGAATAAAGAAAGAACTAAGATATTTGCAGGATTTATACGACCTTGTTTTATTTCGTGGATTCTCCCTCTTCAGCTGCCTACATCGTAAATAAACCAATTATGAGTTACAAAATGGTGTTTGAACATACTTTTTACTATGACTTCAAGTTATAGATAGAAAGTATAAGCAACATAATTTCAAAGATGATGTAAGTAGAAAATTATTCAGTGTTGGAAAAGTAACTATGTATATTGTAGTTAAACAAGGTGGTGGAGTTCAGATTTCCCTTGGAAACAAGGATGGACTATAGACAAAATACAAGATAGAGAGTCCAGAAGGGGGTGGGGTGGGGTGAATAGTACAGTAAAATTATAAAGTACATAACATAATTTACTTTAGTAGATTTGGAACCTTAATATTGAGTTCAACTCTGTAAGTGAAGTCAAAATCAAGATTGAGTGAAATGTTATGCAACAAAACAAAACACAAAAACAATTATAGTTACCAGGGTAGTGAGAGATCACTCACGCTATCTTTCCGTATGCATAGGTTGGGTCTAAGTCTTTTGATGACAGTGGCTTCTGCGAATGGAAGTAACCATGTTTTTCTTTGTGTATTGTGTGTTATTTTGAAAGCCTGTATGTCTCGTGTTAATTAGGTGTCTGGGGATTGTGCTCGAGATCACTTTGCTGCTCTTCAAACGGAGACTTCTAGAGATATGCTCGGAGAATCTAGTAGATGCTGTCTTCCCAGTCCTTCTTAATTACTTGCTGCCACAGGTGCAGGTGAATTGGTAAATGATTTCAGTGGGATGTATTTTTAACATCAAACTTGAGTTAAAAATGCAGAAATGTAAGTATTACAATGGTGATAACTGTACCAGAAATCAGTATCGTTGCTCTTGTTTAACGGTAGGTTATGTTCTGATCTCTACTGACCGACTAAACGGTTTCCTTTCTGAGCCTGGGTGCCTTTGCCTGTGCATTCAGGTAACTTAACACCTACCAATACACACTTAGTCAAGTGACTAAGAAGATAAATTAGTTTTTGAACCGATTGATTATATGCATAAGATTAGGAACTGATTCCAGTGATCCGTTGAGAATGGTATCAGCTATTATTGGGTTTCACATATGGGAGAGCATCTAAGTGCCTAAGGACGACCTCTTGGTAGGCGTTAACGTCACCACCAGCTAAACTTGCTTGACCCTGATCAGTACACTACCTATCGTGTATGTTCTGATGGATGAAGTTCAGGTAGAAGATCTATGCACTATTGTGTACCCAGATATGAATTATATTTATAAAACAAACGAAAAACCAAAACTAATACATAGTAATAATGTACAACTTATCTGTTGACAGACTGGGGTAGGAAGCTCGAGGAGTGTGCTTAACGATAGCACGACGAGTGAGCGAGCCACGTGACAGCAGTCAAGCAGGAAAAACAAAGATGGCGTAGCGCTATGGTACATGAATGCGTTAAAACAAGAGTTCAAACATTCAAGGTGCACTGCAAGTAGATAGTCAGCTCACTTCATTTAATTGTATAATATAAGTAAATATAATGAAATAAAGGATAGAAATATATATCCGTGGAAAATTTCTGTTGGGACATGTAGGAAATCAAAACGATTGATTCAACGAATTTATCATCAAGCTGTACAATCGTATACATATGATTTCTTTTATGGATAATGTGACAGAAAACAATTGGTTGTATACTTTATAGAATAGTTCATGAAGTGAATAAAGCTCAAACGAGAGTGTAGAAACAACAAGATTAGTTAGTAAGTAATTAAAAAATACAATCAGCATAAATGGAAGGAACCTGAAAGAAACAATCTCCTTTACCACCTACCTGGGAAGCATCGTTTCAACTACAGGCGGAACTGATGAGGATATCAAAGCAAGGATCGGGAAAGCAAGACAAGCCTTCATTACTCTCAAGTCTGTGTGGAGGTCAACAGCACTCAGCATCAAAAATAACATCCGGATTTTCAACTCCAATGTGAAGTCATTGCTACTATACGGATCAGAGACTTGCACTGCGCGTCATAAAGAGCATCTCAAACAAACTACAGACCTTCATTAACAATTGTCTTCGCTCAATACTCAAGATCAGATGGCCAGAAAAGATCAGCAACAGGGATCTCTGGGAGCGAACCAACCAAGAACCGATTGTGCAACAAATAGGCAGGAAGAAATGGAGGTGGATTGGCCATACTCTAAGGAAGCCATCAAGTGATATCACTAGACAAGCCCTCGAGTGGTACCCGAAAGGGAAGTGGCGAGTTGGTAGTCGAAGGGTGACTTGGAGGAGATCATGTGAAGAGGAGATGAAAGCATGTGGGCAGACTTGGAGCCAGGTGAAAACTCTAGCAGAGAACCGAAAGCAATGGAGACGCGCGGCTGAAGCCCTATGGAACATTCCTCTAGGAATTAAAGGAAACAATAATAATAATTCAAATATTGCACAACAAGGTGATAATTGTGTGATAACAAAGAATATTGCAAAACGTATAGTGAATTAAATAAATACATAAAGGTGACAAGTGAGATACCACTAGGAATTGTTCAAAGTGGAATTATTAATAGCAATCGACATAATATGGGAAGGATTTGACAACTGAATAAACTAAAACGAAATATAATAAGTAGAGCTAAAGTGTGCGTGGGGATTATCGTACTTTAGCGTAGACAGATTAAGATCATGAGAGCTGGAGGGATTGGACAAACTTCCTCTTCTCAGTACAGAGATCTGACTTTTCTATTTTGATGACCAAGGCTTCAGCATTACAGATGAGTCGGATGCATAATGATTTAGGTAAGTTACTTTTCTCCTTGTAGACAACTTAAAAGAAAGAGACCGCAGATACAAAATGACCAGTATTGACCAGATGTTCACTTATTGCGCTTCTCTTATAGCCTCACTTCTACCCCTTCCTAGTCACACAATACAGTGTTCGTACACCCCCTTGGATGAAACCAAAGCATATAGAAAGTTAAAAAAAATTACAGTATTCACGAGAAAGATGAATAACATAGAAGCATGTATCTTCTGAATTTATCTTGATTAGTTTAAGTATCCCTTATATAAATAAATTGGCATATTTGTTATCATCTTCATTCCATTACTGTTCTTGTTACTATAGCAACTGACTGATTTGATTTAGAAGAAGGAGAAGGAAAAAACAACATGTGAAACGGCAGAGTAAAACTTGGATACAATTGATGTTATCCTCTATCACGTATTGATAATTGAAACGTTTAACTCAAGTGACAACTGACTTGTTATTACTGCTGTTACTGCCTACTCTCATGCAGAAGATAGTTGCAAAGGATTTGATTCAACCGAATGTAGTTTGTCATCAAAGAAATGAAATTTAGTCTTTTTTGTTTCCATTCATCTAATAAATGATTTGTTTTCAAGAGTGGTAGCAAAACGAGGCGTGTTTGCTTTTCTTTTCTCAGATAATAATTATCTCACTTTGACTTCATTTTACGATTCAATGTGAATTAGAACTTCTAGTGTGCATAAATGAGATAGTTTAGCGTTACTGAAGTTTATTCAGAGAAGATTGTAATGCATTTGCGCTATAGACAAATATGAGTCGATTTATGTAGGAAATTTCAAGTGTGATCACCAAGTGAATTCATATAGAGAACCAGTAAAGACCACCAGGGTGTACTGCACAGTAATTCTGACTTTTCCAGGACTCATCAACAGTATATATCCATGACCCCACTGCCAGAGATCAAACCCCAGGCCATATGTTGAGCTCGTTGACTATTTAGCCACTGGGAGAGGATCGAATGGTTTGTCAATTCTAATTTCTATATATATATATATATATATATATATATATATATATATATATATAGGGCAACCTCCAGCCCATGTTATCAGTGAGTATCTGCCCTCACTTTCAACTTGCTAGATTCCATGGGTTACGACTTGCGATGGAACCTTAGTCAGCCTCCTTCCGTAGTCAGTCAGTAGTGATCACAAGATTAATTTTCAAATGTTGCCTTGCAGCGAATTGATTCATTTCAATTTTGACCACGAAATAACCTCAGTTAGAGTTATATAGGAAGTGTGATACAGAAGTGTAGTAGTTCAAGTTGCCAACCTTCCCATTAGTACAGATGTCGAAGTAACTAAAATAAACCAATATTTAAATGATTAAGAAGAATGCCTTTTTAGAGGGAGGAAATGATTACCAGCATAATGAAAAGAAATAAACACTTTTTGATTTCTTTTTTTTGACAGATTCTTACGCATATCAGCGATAAGTTTCAAGTACTGATTCCTGGGATCTTGCAAGTGTCGCCAGTTAGTCTATATAGCACAGACTAACAGTTAATAATTTCATGAATAAGTAATTTCATATTCTTTTCAACTATTTCTGTGATCACAAATGGGTAGCCAATATGGATCTTCCGCCATTTCCCAACAGTACATTAAAACAAAAGGCTAATATGCAAACTTGTGTCCTCATGTATAGCTGTGAAACATGGACATTTAAAGTGGAAGATCTGAAAAGACTAGCTGCCTTTGATCATAGATGTGTGCATTCTATCTCCCATGTTAGGTCTGTATAATATGGTGAGTAATATTGAAGTCAGGTGTAGAGTACTAGATAAACAGGGTAAATAGATGGATAATGGTTTGAAGGTGAGTCGATTGAGATGGCTAGGCCAAGTGTTGTACATGCTTAGCCATTGCCTTCCCCAACGGGTATTCTTAGCCGACATAGGATTAGGTTGGTAAAGAGTTAGTGATGGTCAAATGAAAACATGACATCAGTCCATGAAATTTTTTACAGTTAGTTTGTAGACTGAGTGATTGGGGTCCTCAATGGCTTCAG